TATCCATTATACGGATAAAAGCTCTGAATAACCACTTGAATGATTCAATTGTTTCATCTGACAAAAAACCAACACCAAATAGAACATTCTGCCAGTGATGATTCACACCGACAATCGGAGCACAACATAAATTGTATTTATTCAATCTATAACTTGTATCAAATATTATTACATCCCCAAAACAGTCATAATCAATCCTGGACATCCCGTCGCACCATAAAAAATTCACCAAACATCCTGCCTCATCAATTTGGAAGTCCCACGCAAACATTGGATCATCTGCTTGTCGGGTAGTGAACAATTGTATGAGAGAATTAGCATCCCCTAATTCAATCTGAACTCTTCTCTCTCTTTGTATGAAATTATATGCATCCCTCTTTGTGCAATCAAGATTCTCCACTCCTCCAACCTCATTTGCGAGGAATCTGAATGCATCGCTGGTTCTAATCCCTGATTTTGTCATTGTTCTGAGGATATCAGCATTGATATCACACATCTTTCTGCTGGAACGCAGTAGATGCTTGTCACCGTCCTCCGCCAACGGATGGTTGTGACTTTCTACAAATTTTTTTACCGACCAGTTGCCATCTAAATCAACGAAGTATCGGATCATTGCTGGACAACCAGTCCTTGTGTCCGCTCTTTTGAACCTCACTGTGATAGTGTCCTTCAACTCTTTCTTGAAACCAGCCTTACCACAAACAAAGTCCTTTGTCTTCAACTTCTTAGAATTCGGCCAGAAACCACTGTGTTCCTTTCGCACAGTAAATCCAATATGGTGTGCATATAAACAATACTGTTCATATGCTTCATTCTCGTTCTGGACAACTGCATTAAGTAATTTCTCTGTATCGGGTGACTGCAGATTTAAACATCATAGATACAATGTTATAATACATAAAGAACAAAATAATAATACCATATTAATATCATAATAATACTATTCATAACATCAGCCCAGAACTTATATTATACCGAACAACCGGAGATGGAAAACAACTACAAAACCCAACCGGTGTATCACCGTGATAATACCTAAGTAACACCAAATCCACATGAAAGAAACGTTACGTTGTGGTACTACCAAAATAACGCTGTGGTACGACCAAAATAACACCAAATCCTCAAGACATTGGTTTTACATTATGATACCACCAAAATAATGCTGTGATAATACCAAAATAACACCAAATCCTCGAGATTCTTTACATTATGATACCACCAAAATAATGCTGTGATAATACCAAAATAACACCAAATCCTCGAGATTCTTTACATTATGATACCACCAAAATAACGCTGTGGTACGACCAAAATAACACCAAATCCTCAAGACATTGGCTTTACATTATGATACTACCAAAATAACACTGTGATACTACCAAAATAACACCAAATCCTCCAGATTCTTTACATTATGATACAACCAAAATAACGCTGTGGTACGACCAAAATAACGCCAAATCCTCAAGACATTAGCTTTACATTATGATACCACCAAAATAACGCTGTGGTACGACCAAAATAACACCAAATCCTCAAGACATTAGCTTTACATTATGATACCACCAAAATAACGCTGTGGTACGACCAAAATAACACCAAATCCTCAAGACATTAGCTTTACATTATGATACTACCAAAATAACACTGTGATACTACCAAAATAACACCAAATCCTCCAGATTCTTTACATTATGATGCCAGATACTATCAAAATAACATCAAACCCCAACTAATATTTCCTAAATAACACCACATCCCACCCAACCGAAACTTAGCGTTAAAACTCATCCAAAAATAGAGCAAACTTCATTAGCAATAAAATAACTCCTTAAAACCTAGAACTGTATTCAAACATCCTTCGTTAAAAAAATCTACCTGTCGATGCCCTTCTGCCGCATCTAAACTCTGCTCCACCTCATTATTCTCGGAAATATTCTGAGATTTCGTCTCATTGTTATGATTCTCAGAAGTATTTTGAGATTCCACCAACATTTCTTCGTCGAAATTTTTTTCCATCGAACCAGCTCCAGCGAACATGAGCGAAAAAATGAGAATATACCAGATACCAATACCCTAAAGCAGACAAAATGTCACTTTCTTCTGTTGGCGGGAATCGAAAATGACAAAAAAGCGCTTTTTTTTGTTTTGGGCGGGATCGGGTCGGGTCGGAATACATGAAAAAACTTATTTTTAAGCTGTAAAGCCACGTGGAATCGCATTCCACGTGGCAAATTTTTATTCGGTACCGCATGTAAGGCTTCATGCGGTGCACGTACCGAATAAAAATTCCTCTGGAATGGGGGAATTGTTGGTTTTATTTATTTATTTTATTAAATGAAATTTAAAATCAAAATAAAAATTAAAATGTATTTTTGAAACATAACCGAAATCAATCAAATTTATTCAGTTTTTTCTGGCATTTTTTTTATTTTATTTTGACCAAATAATGCAAATATTTGAAATGATATAGAGAATAAGAAAATAAAAAAATAAATAAATAAATAAAACATAGAGGAACAAATGAGATTCCTCAAACTTAATTGATTTTTTTATAAAATAAAAAAATTAAATTAATGTATTATTATAATTTTTATAAGGAACTATCGTACTAATAAATAATTTATTATAAGTAACCAATATATTAATGCCAAAATTACATTCAAGTGCAATTGACAGTACTTTCACTTACTAACATTATGAATGAAGCCAACCCAACCCAAATAAGAATGATACATCTTCAAATTATTTATATTAAAAAAATATTTTAAAATTTCATCTTATCTTATAAGCATATCATAAAATAAAATAAATAAATAAATAAATAAATTGTACGGGAAAATAATATTTCTTGATCAACAATCTCAACTATATAAGATATAATTAATTAGCTGAACGGGACTCATAAACATCATCCTGTTTACACTGAGCCTTATATTTTTATTTATTATCTTGATTGGTATTATACGCATTCATTTTCCCCTTATTTTATTAATATTAAAATGTAGATCAAAATTTATACAATCCTATTATTTTACCCAATTGCGTGCCCATAAAAATACCATTTTTCTTTGGGGCGAATTACATACCGACCAGCCGAAACTTGCTATTTACAAATCAACCCATGTTTCATCATCCCTCAAATGTTGAGATTCATGCAAAAATTTCAATTCATATTTTTCATTTTTATTAAATTCTCAATAGTGCGATCATGTGAAAGTACTGTTGTGAAAAACGGCAGCAAAAAAGTGAAAACTGGAACGAGAAAATTCACAAAACATATAACACAGCGGAAGCACACAGATTTACGTGGTTCGGCAAATTGCCTACGTTCATGATGTTGCAGAGAAATTTTATTAGCTTGAGGATTACACCTGTCGATCACCTCGATGATTGCAAGAAAATATATTTTTCTCTCCCTACCTCTTTCTTTCCTCTCCTCTCTCTTCTCACTCCTCTCCTCTCTCTCTGTCTCTCTCTACCCGAGAGCTACCATCAAGAAGAAGTAACGCCTGAGGGAAACCAAATCCGAGAGTGTTAACAATGGGAGCTAACAAGTTTATTTATTAATTTAATCATGTCATTATGCCCATTAAAAAATTAACCAATTAATGAAGTCCGTTAATTTTTTTTTTTTCTCTTCTGCAACAAATCATATATTCGATTAAGAGCAATTAATTTTGAGTATTAAATCTAATTTGCTGTCAAATATAAGAAAATGTCTATTTGAACAGTGGATTGGTTTCCATATTCGCAACAAATATATAAATTTGAGTTCAAAAAATTACATTGATCAATGCTTGGGGACGTCTCTGTAACGAATCATTCAATTTTTTTTTTTTTTTTGGGAGCATTTACATATAAATGCACACAATTCTTACGTATTTATATATCTCACACCGAAATTTTCATATTATCATACCCAACACTCAAATCATTTTTATTACTTCTAAAAAATTAAATATATTTTATTAAGCTTATTATTAAAGCATCAAAGTGCTATGTGCATGTATATGAAAGTCCATTAAATTTGTGCCCTATGAATGTAAATTTCCCATCTTTTTAAGGGGCATGACTGCCGCCTTCACAGCATCTTCATAGCCTGTACATTAAACATTGATCGTATATGCATCAAGCCACACCGTACGCTGAATCAGAAAACGAAGACTGTAATTAAATTTGTCCAAAATAAAAATTATTTTGGACAGCTCCGTACGTCTGAATAGAAATTGAAATCTTTATTTTATTTTATTTTTGCAAATCTCACCGTATAAACTAAGTTCCACAGTGCAGAATCATATAAATTGAACGCCTCATCCGCCCTAATCCCTCAACCATCCTTCTAAGCATTGCCTCCTGCATTCAAGGAGGATAGGTTCAGAGCAGAATCAGCAATGCAGCTTATGGCAAAGTTGGCCAAAAAGGTGCGGCTCGGTGGGCTCAAAGCTCTGTATCAGAGGCCTCGCCGCCGGCTTCTCGGGTATCAGAAAGTGCAGCTTTCTTCTGCGGTTTATTCGTCGCTGGTGCGGCCGCCGGCCGGTCATTTTCCAGTGTATGTTGGGGAAGAGAGAGAAAGATTTGTGATTCCGACGGCTTTTCTCTCTCATCCATTGTTCAGTGCGTTGCTGGAGAAGGCGTATCAGGAGTATGGATTCAAGCAAGTTAATGGGTTGAGGCTTCCTTGTAATGTTTCTGTGTTTATGCATGTGGTGTCTGCGGTTGAGAAGTCTGGTGGTCAACTTGATGTTGAGAAGATCACGGGAGAACATGACTTCTGGTAATCAATATGTTGTCTGGATCTATAAATGTATGTATTTGTAGACACATGTCTGTACAAAGATTACATGTTAATATACTTATAATTGCATCAGTTTTGTGTTGGATGATGATTAGTAGTTGTCAGGTGAGAAGTGGGCTGGGCTTGTAAGAGAATATTTGCGATGTTAGAGTTAAGGCATATGTATGGTCCTTTTTTTTTACACAGAATGTTGGTATTGTTACACTTAATGATGTTGAAATATAAACTTGATTTTAGTAGTTTAAATAAAAACTAATTATGTCTCATCTAAAAGATTATTCTAGAATATGTGTTAGTTATGAAATTATTGTGTGGTAAGTGTGGTAGGTGTGGTAAGTGTGGAATTATTGTGTGGTATGTATGGAATTATTTGTAACCATTAGATTGGAATTGTAGTGTGTTATGGTATGGCTCATATACCATATCGGGACAGACGCTGGATTGAAGCGGAGCAGAGCGGAGCGGAAGAATCTGTCCAAATTGGGAAGTTACGTGGGTTGGGGTGCGGGGGCAAAGCCCCGCGGTTTGGTACAGGGGTAATGTTGTAACTACATATTGTGCCTAGGTTTACTCCTGGGGTTATAAATAGGTCTGTTAGTAATCCCAGGAGGTATTCTGAATTCTGTAAACTCTTTTCTGATTATTGAAAGGAACTCGCCGCTCTGCTCCCGAGGACGTAGGCATCTTTGCCGAACCTCGTTAAATCTCTGTGTTCTTCTGGATTTGTGTCGTTACTGTTTTCTTCGCCCTTATTTTCTCAACATAGTGGCACAATCCTAACCATTAATTTAGGAGGTGTCACTACTATAAATAGGGGTGGAGCCTATGAGTTTGTATCAAGTCAAGTAAATGTGATAAATAAAGTGAAGTTTCTTCTATTAATTTTTAGTCTTGTCATATCCTAAAAGCTTCTTCATTCCAACAAATGAACCATAAAAATTAAGGTCTAAAGACTTACGTGTGTGTGTGTGTGTGTGTGTGTGTGTGTGTGTGTGTGTGTGTGTGTGTGTGTGTGTGTGTGTGTCTGTGTGTGTGTGTGTGTGTGTGTATCGTAATTTGAAACACCAATATTTTTTAAGACCACTCTGAGGGGCTATGGAATATGGTTGTTCCTGGTTATTAATAACATTAATGTCACTTTGATAGGGCGGGTGTGCTAGGTCCAATTCAAGGGAGGTTTTCTCACTTGATTAAATTCTAAAAACAGAGTTCATAGGTTTAAAATTTTCTAAAACAAATATGGTTCGACACTTTCATAAAATCACTAAATTTTGACCCTTTAAGCTAAACTTAAAAACCAGTATACTAAAACTTTTTAAGACTTTAGGAGCTCACTTGCAGTTCGTGGGATCTATACGCAGACTCAGTTCCGTATATTACTTAGACGACAACTATACTTATGTTTATTCTCTGGAGCTTCACAGTATTTAGATCCCTATCAATTACATTTAGACATAAAGAAGTCATGTGATGACATAATCCATCAAAATTGTACTTGTTCAATTTTCTTAATATTGAGTGTTATCTGGCATACATAAGCCTTATAAAGTTTGAGTGTATTATCAATTGAATATCAAATGATATAATCCAACATAGGCTTAAGCTTATCACTGTCAATGTCATTTAAATGGCCATTAATGTAGTTGATATCATCTAATACGTAGCTCCTTATGTTAGGGCTTGGTAGAGCATATGCCCTAATAAATAACTTAAAAACAAATTAGTTTATTAAATATGCTCTATTTATGATAATAATAATAATAATAACAATGTTATAATTGGAAGGTGTGAGAACATGTAACATATTAAAGGACTTTATTATATCATATTAATACCACTTCTAAGAGCTTTATTCTGATCAAGTACATTAGCATATATCATATTAAGGACTTATTATATCATATTCATATTACATTAAGCTTGCTCCCTATTTGGCATAGCCATGCGGACAGTAAATTATAGGGATAATTCCAAACAAACCACCCAAAATTTTGATATTTACAAATTATTCCCCAAAGGGATTTTCTTGAAGTAGAGAACCGATGTATTAACACATGCAACTATCAAACTATTGAGAATTTGATAAAAATAAAAATAAGAATTGGGACTTTACCACGAATTTTGATATTCGAGTGAGAATTAGAAAAATGGATGAAAGAGAGTGGTTGATTTGTAAATAGCAAGTTTCGAGTGGTCTTTACGTAACTACCCCTTCTTAACAATTATTTTTTATTATTTTATAGATGCCCCTATTATGATGTACTTTTTTTTCATTTTTGACAATTGTAAAATCAATATTCAATACACATTTGTAATTTTTTAAATATAATTTATAATTAAAAGGCACCAATTTTGCAAATTATTATATTTAATTGCAAAATAAAATAATAATAATAATAATTAACGATAGAATTTGATGTCATTATCATTCCATTAAATTCTTAACAGTTTTTTAACAAGTAAAATTAAAGAATGAAGACAATGTTGAAATTTCAAAGTTCAAAGTTGGAATAAGACCCTTAACATTAATTAAAATTCAACTAACATAGTGGTTTATGTGCATATACATCACATAATTCTTATCTATTTACATATCTAACAATCATAATTTGATATTTGCACTAACAATATGTTAATGTTATAAAACTATGCATGTACTGTTATATGTTACTTTTAAAAAGTCAACAAAAGTGGTATTTTAATGTGATATTAAACTTTTGAATGTTATGTGTGTAAAAATATAAATTTAGGTGTAGATATGTAAATACATAAAAGGTGTGGGTATGCACATAAATGCACCTTCATTTATTTCTTAAATGCTTCATAATTTAAAAATATAACTATCCTTCATGGTTTGCATAAAATTACTTGCAATTAGGAGACAAATTCTTGGACATTGGTGATATTTTAACACTCATCTAATTCAAATTTTACTCCTCTATTGGAATTCAAACAAGAGAAAGGCATTCAATACAAGGAAGCCTTTAATCCAGGGGTCAAAATACCATGATTAGAATTCTTCTTAAAGTAGTCTATAACTGTACACCATAACTGGACCTTATAAGAGTTGGACATCTCCAATGCTTTCCTTCATGTCCTCTAGAGGAAATCGTCTGCATGTCTCCACCACAAGATGTTCAGTATGGTCAATATCCTAATGATGCGTCTCCTTAAAAAAGTTATATGAGACCTTAAACAAATACCAAGGCAATGATACTCTATCTTCTTTAACTATATCAAAGGCAGAGAATTCAATTGAGCTCGACATATCATTCTCTTTGAATCTACCAACATAACAACACATGCATTTTACAACTAGCTTAAGTGGATGTTAAACTGTTAACAAGCAATTATCCAACAATCATCACAACGATCGTGAAAACTTAAGTCCTCCTCTCAACTAAAAATTAGCTTGGGAAGGTTAACACTTTCTTACAAGCACAAGTAAGATATATCCACTCGCAAGTCAGATATATCCACTAATTAAGTGTTTAAAAATCCAACTCAATATGGCCAACTAGCTGGTACATTCCATGGTTACTAGACCCGATATCGTCTGCGTTGTTAATCATATATGTTAAAATATGCACAAATCACTTATAAATCACTTTCGTCTTATAAAAAGACCAATATGCCATCTCATAGGCACCATACATTATGGTCTTCAAATCACACCGAGCAATCTTCACCTCCACAACTACTCTGACTCACCAAATCATATATCCCAAACTATGATTGGGATCTCCTTCCAGGACAAGTATAGGTGGTTGTACTTGCTCTAAATTATATCTATGATGGAATAGATGACCTGTGTAGGGGACTAAATCTGAAAATAACATGTAATTAGTTCTCTATTAAATTAAAAAAAAAACACAAGTAATGTGAGCATTAAATTAAAACTTATGTGCTCCCCACTGTCCTTAGCTGATGATGGTTGCTCGTGCTGCTCGAACTCAACGACGCATCAATAGCAGCTGATGCTTACGATGTTGGTGGTGTCGTGGTCGTGGTTGGTGGTTGTGGTGGTGTCGTGGCTAGTAATGTTAATCATGTCAGGGTTGTGACTGGTGGAGGAACTAGTGTGATAGATGTTACTAGAGGCGGGTGGTGGGTTGGTTCCCCTTTAACCCCCCACGTCCACGACCTCGTCGGCTACTAAAAAAGCTCATCGATTAATGCCCCGCCAAATGACGAGTACTTAAATAACCAACAAAATTTGACTGTCGGTTATTATGTGTTTAAAAATGATGATGAAATACATCAGTTATAATAAAAATTATCAGATACTAATCTACTGTTCATAAGCAACGGAATGTCATGTTATTATACCGTCGGAAATAACTCAACACATAAACCATCGTAAAACAGTCGAAAATTAGAATATTTTCACCGACGATAATTTAAACCATCAGCTTTGCTGTCGGTTAAATCACTATTTTTTTATTATCTCCTCATAGTTATTGTTCAATTATTGTTACTTAATTGACACATCATTCTACAATCTTATTTATAATAACATAGACAAACAATTTTATATATATATATA